CCCGCTGCAGCTGTAGCGGGCCTACGTGGCAGTGCTACAGTACCCGCTCCTGCTGCTACAGACTCACGACCTGCTGCGCCACCTGTTGCCGCTGCTACAGCCCCTGCTGCAGCACTTGTAGCCCAGAAAGACACAATGTCTCGAACAGTGCCCTGTGCTGCTGCAGCAGCTTCGGATAGCAACGACTCCATCACACCGTCTCTACCACTCCCCTTGTGCGGCTCCTGAGAACTAGACGCGCCGTCCCGGCACTCCCTTTCCAAACCTGCCGGTTACTTGCCAAACCACTAGCCTCGGTCCCACCCCGAGCGGTTCGGTCCGGTACACCAGAGTCTAGAGGTAAAAGAGCTGAATCACCCTGGTCACCCCTTCCTTGTATCCGTTCTCTTCCTGTGCCTGTGCTCCGCTCCTCCTGCCTACCAGCCCTCCCTCCTCCACTCTCTCCTCCCCTTCCTCCTCCGCGTCCCCCCGCACCCCACACTCCCCCTCTCTGACCCCCAGGTCTGTACAGCAGAGCACTCACCCTCCCACTCCCACTGCTATCCCCGCCCCCAACCGCTCTTCTAGCCGGCTCAAAAGTTGACCTGGACTTAGGCAGAGCGGTCATGGGGCGAGCAGGCATGCTTTGAGGCGAAGCGATCGCTCTATGAGTCCGCTCAGGAGGCACCTCAGACGCAGTCGCTCTTCTAGCCGCCTCTTGAGGCGCCTCAAAAGCGATCGCTCTTCTAATCAGCTCTTGAGACGTCTCAAGAATCGCGTCAGTCGCAATTGCTCTTCGAGCTGGCTCAAAAGTCGACCTGGATTTAGGCAGAGCGGTCACGGGGCGAGCAGGCAAGGGGTGGCCATCTAGACCATCCAGCCTCGTACCTGGCTGGGAATACTCGTCCTCCAGGCTTTGATTCCTCCTCCCTCTATCCAGCTGGACAGGGGTTTTCCTATCCAGACTGGTAAACCCATCTCCCTCACGACCCCCCCACGCAAGCGGCTGTGGCTGGTATTCGCCCAAGCTTTGGCCCCTCTGGCCCCTCCCTGTATCCCTCCTCGCAGCTGCTGGATCGTGACTCCCCCACGGGTGAGCATCCAGCCTGGTGGCTGCTCGCTGGTGGTATTCGTCTGGACTTTGGCCCCTCCCTGTATCCAGCCTCGCAGCTGGTGGATCATGGTGACCCCCCCATGGGTGAGCTTGAAGATCTGACCTGGTATCTGCTGGCTGCTGGTATTCGTCTGGGCTTTGGCTCCTTTGGCTCCTCTGTCCCCTCCCTGCATCCAGCCTCGCAGCTGCTGGATCGTGACTTCTCCCCAGGGGTGAGCAGCATCTAGCCTGGTGGCTGCGGCTGGTGGTATTCGTCTGGGCTTTGGCTCCTCCCTGCATCCAGCCTGGTGGCTGCTGGCTGGTGTCGACTCCCACTTCCACCACTAGCCCCGCCCCCAATCGCTCTTCTACCCAGCTCAAAAGCCAACCTGCCACTCCCATCCCTTGCTGCTGTGTGCTGGAACCGATCTCTCGGCTGAGCAGTCATAGGGCGGGCAGGCAACGGGTGAGCGTCCAGTCTTGAAGCTGGCTGGGAATAGTCTTCCTCAACGCTTCGATTTCTCCCTCTATCCAGCCGGGCAGCAGAGTCATGACTCCCTATGGGGCGAGCAGGCAACAGGTGAGTGTCCAGTCTTGAAGCTGGCTGGGAATAATCCTCCTCAAGGCTTTGTTTCTGCCTCTATCCAGCCTGGTAGATGCCTCACGGCTCCCCCAGACATCACGTCTCCTTTGCTCGCCCAGCAAAGGATCGTCTTGTATCCTGCTCTGTTCCCTCTCTTGCTGCCTGGACATAGGACGAAAGAAAGGCTGCTGCTCCCCTCCTTCTTGCCTGATTCCAGGCGCCAGCACAGCAGGGGACTCTGCCATCAGGTCAAAGGCGTTAGCGTTCTGTTGAGAGTTCCCAAAAGTGGCATTGGAGTAGCTAGAAGGAGTGAAGGAGCGAGTGAGAGAGTCCGCATGGTGGTGTACCACAACACCTCCTGTTCTTTGAGGCGCCTCAAAAGTCTGCCCCAGGGGTTTGGGTTTAGGGGAAGCAGTTGTGAGGGAGCGAGTGAGAGAGTCTACATGGTGGTGTACCACCACATCGCCCGCTACCACCTCCCTTACAAACAAAACCTCCTCACTCTCCTCCTCTTCCCCTCTCTCCTCCCCCTGCTCCTCCCCTCTACCTGCCCCCTCCTCCTCCTCTGCCCTCCCGTCCTGCTCCGCCTTCTCCCCTTCCCTCAGCCTCAAAGGTCGTGCAACAGGAGTGTTACCGCCGCCACTAGTGGTAACCGCATGTGCGACAGGCGTGTTACCGCCAGTCGAAGCATCCGCAGTTACAGGGGTGGTTACCGGCGACACTTGACTGTTAGCAAACTGATTTGGACTCCCCAAGGCCTGGGCGATGGGAGTGTTACCAGCAGTGGAAGCAGCAGGTGTGTTACCAGTTGTAGAGTAAGCAGCAGCAGTACCAGCAGCACCAGGAGTAGCAGCAGGAGTAGCAGCAGCAGAAGCAGCAGAGGTGGCTGCAGCAGCTAGCCTTGCTGAAGCCATCCCGAGGAGACCAGACACATTGAACCCACTGACAAATGACGCGGTAACTGCATGCGCAACAGGAGTGTTACCAGTAGTCGACATCTCAGCCATAGACGGTGTCCTGTAGATGGTCAGAGCGCTCGACCGCTCTCCACCCATTCCTCCTGATACACCACCCATCTGAACCGCTCCCCCTTGAGACATCGACATTCCTCCTGACATATCCCCTACAGCCCGAGCCACAGGCGTGTTACCATCCGTGGACATTCCCGAGGCTACGGAGGAGGTTCGGGCGATGGTAACCGCGTGCGCAACCGGCGTGTTACCAGCAGTGGAGGCCTCAGTAGTAGCCACCGAAGCTGACCTGTAGATACTTAGTGAGGCATTGTGTACCCCGACTGAGTAGACAACAGAAGGAGCTTCGGCAGCAGACACTGATCTACTCATGCTAGGAGTACTGGCAACAGAGGGACCAGCAACAGAGGGAGAGCGAGCTATAGCCAAAGCAGCCGACTGGAGACTCTGACCAATGCTCCACATGCCGTTGCCGCTGCTCAGCCCCCATCCTCCTCCGCCACTTTTTTCTCCTCCTCTCCGCCCCTCACCCCCACTCCCATCCTTGACAAGCCTTCTGGGAGCAGGAGGGACCAGGCCAGCCGCATTTCTTCTCATGGCTGCCCGAGCCTTTGCTTCAACTGCCCGGACCAAAAGCTCGAGATCCTCTTTCACTGCAGCAGCAAGCCGTTGCTGCTGCGTTCCCTTCCTTAGCCACCCCTCGGAATTTTCTCCTCACCCTGCCAACGCCATTCACATGCAACACGTTATGCACCTCCCTAAACACTGCTGATACCACCTGCTCCACTTCCCACTCCGCTTTCTCCCTCTCGGCAGCCGAGACGGCTGTAGCGGCAGCTGTAGCGGCGGCAGAGGCTGACACTAACTCGCTTTCCCGCTTCGCCACTGCCAGCTGTAGCATCTGCAGCAACACGTGGAGAAAAATCACCCTGGTGCTTAGCTAAAAGCTGCTGCTTATTGTAAATAGAGTCACCCCAATTGTAGTCTTCATCTGCCAACCCTACATCTACTAACTCCTCCTCCTCCTCTTCTTTTCCTCTCCCAGATTCTTCCAAGTCTTCTCTGTCATTCGCTCCACCTGTTGTCGTCTCTGTTCCTGAAAACTCCCCCCCTGATGGTCCCCCGAAGGTGAGCAGCAGCCCCACATCTGAACCAGTTCTGTTGAAACCACCTGAGTAAGACCCTGCTCTGTTGAAAGCACCTGAGTGCGAGTCCGCTCTGTTGAAACCCCCTGTGTAGGAAACCGCTCTGTTGAAACCCCCTGAAGGCATACCTGGGGCTTCCCTAGGAGCGGTTGTTATCTGACTGGCATAGGAAAAGGGCTGCCCTGAATAGGAGACTGCTCTAGCTGCGTTGGGAGAGGAAGCCTCATCAAGCGCTGAAAACGAGGTGGTGAGGGGCGGCGGTCCTTTAGCGGTGGGAGAGGGGGGTTCTTTGCTGGTGGGTGTGGGAGAGGAGGGCCCTTCAGAAAAGGAAATATCACGAGCAGAGTGGGAGGAGAGGAGGGTGGTGGTGGTAGAGGAAGAGGACAGGTTCGGATCAGGATAGGCTCGGCCTGAGTACGTGGAGGCTCGGCGGAAGGCCTTGTGGAGAGAAGAGCCTATACTGCCGGGATGGGGGCTTGCAGGAGCCAAGAATGAGAAGGCGTTATGGGTGAAGTCAGGAGCTGTGTCTGGGCTGGTGGTATGAGTCGTCTCTAGGCTGCTGTAATCCGTGTGTGGGTGATGTGAGCCACATTAACAGGTGCACACGGTGAGGCAACTACAACTGTCGCTGCTCCTGCTGCTGCCGATGCCACTACTGCTGCTCCTGCTCCTGCTGCCGCTGATGCTACTACTGCTGCTGAAACATCTTCTCTTCCCTCACTCGCATCCTCTTTTCCGCTCTCCCAGTCCTTCCCATCAACTTCACCTAAACCGTTTTCCATAGCAACAGCTGCGACGCTCCTTCCTCCTCCACCTTCACCCCCTTGCTCCTGCCCATCCCAATGGGCGAATTCCCCCACTCGTCCTTTCCGCCTCCCCTTCCATTCCCCTCTTGACCTCCTCCTCCTCCGCCTCCTCCTCATGCTTATCATTATTATCACCACTGCATTCAGCCACACTAGCCAGACGAGACTTTACGCGACCACCAGGAGTGCCGTTTTCACCTGATGAAGCACCTGAAACAACAGAAACACCTGAACCGTCTCCATCTGCGCCGCCTGCACCCCCAGCGCCAGGTGCTGCTGCGGTCACCACCTCAGCATCCCCATCCAACTGCATCCCCCGTAAATGAACCAGGGGTGAGTGCAGAGGCGAGAAGTTGCTCATTCTCCTCCGCAATTCCGGCAGCTTAGCACTGAAAAACTCGTCCTCACGAGGAGAAGAGGACTTGTAAGGACCCTCACCAGTCATTCTCCTCCTCAATTCCGGCAACTTAGTGCTACAAAACTCGTCTTCTGCAGAAGAGGCAGACTTACGAGGCGAGTTTTGAGGGCCCTCACCAGTCATTCTCCTCCTCAATTCCGGCAATTTGGTGCTGAAAAACTCGCCTTCCCCAGGGGAAGAGGGCAGGCGCAGGGCCGTCTCCTTTTGAGGGCCCTCACCAGTCATTCTCCTCCTCAATTCCGGCAGTTTCGTGCTGAAAAAACTCGTCTTCCCCTGGGGAGGAGGGTTGCCCCAGCGCAGCCTTAGCGTCTCTCACATAGGTGACTAAATCGGATGTGGCTCTAGGGAACGTGCGAGGGGGAGGGTGAATGTGCAGCAGAGGCCGGGAACTGCAGGTGTGACTTGGCTCAGGGTCGTGTGCATCAGTGAGACTTGGATCCTCACTAAATAGTCTACTCTCCTCCGTGAGTGACCTAGGCCAGTCCATCCGGCAAGACTGCCCTATCCTTCTTTCCTCCCTCTTCTCTGCCCCCTCCGTTTCCCTTTCCTGCCTCTGGCCTTCCCCACGCCTCTCCCCTTCCCCACGCCTCACCTCAAGCTCTTGTTCATCGTCTCCTTCACTCCAGATCTCATCCCAGTCACCGTCCTCATTCTTCCCCTCAACTCCCTCCCCTTCCCTTCTGTAATTCTCTTCCTTCTCTAAGCTCAGCCGCTCCACTACACTTGCTGCTCTGCTGGTGCGTGTGCCTGTGCTTGCTGTGGCAAGCGAAGAACCTGGTTCTTCTTCTTCTCCGGCTGCTGCACCCTCCTCCTCCCCACGCTCCTCTATTCCAAATAGCACCCTTCTCATCCCTCCCATCTCCCCCTCCTCAGCTCCCCCCTCTGCTCCCTCCGCCACCTCGCCACCACACAAATACGGCCAGCTTTCCTCCCCACCAGAACCCTCCAATCGCGGCCCGCCAAGCGGCGACACAAACACCCCTCCCACGCCCCCTCCCCTGCCATTCCTCCCCACCGCTCCCGACCCACTCAAACTCCCCACTAGCGGCGACATCGGCCTTCCATTAGCATCAACCACCACCCCCCCTTCCGCCACAGCCCCTCCAAACGCCTCCCCTAGCTGCCTCTCTAGCTGAGACAGCATTTTCACTGCCTCCTGTCGCCGCTCCCACTCCTTCTCAGCTAAAAGGCTTGCTTCAGCTGAGAGCTCCTGCTCCCGTTGCAACTCCAGGTACAAGTCCTCAAGCTCCCTCTCTAGGTCTCCTCTCACGGCGTGCAGTCGCTCGATCTCTGCTTCTGCTTCTGCGATGCTCCTGGTGGTGTTCGTGGCGGTGCTGGTACTGGCGTTCCTGGTGCTACAGCCGCAGCTACAGCTGCTGCAACACGTGCAGCCACAGGTGCTGTTGGTAGGCTGGCTGCTACTCTGGTCTCCCCCAGCTTCGAGACAAGCCTTATCCAAATCAGCAACAGGGGCCTGTGACTTGCAATCGAGTTGAATGCGTAGAGAGTCCAACTCCCTCTCCAGATCTTCCCGCAGGTTGCGCAGAAACTCAAGCTCTGCCTCGCGGTCCATCTCGGGAAATGTCTTTCCAGGTGACAATTGTGCCTTGGGAAGCGACACTTCCACCTTCTGAGGCTCTTTGAAGCACTCCACTTCGGCATCCATGTTTCCCTCCACACTCTCCCTCTCTCCCACAACCCCCTTCCTGCTGTTCCCATGCTCCTCCTTCCTTTGTTCACTCCCTCTACCTCCCGCATTGTTATCACCGAATGAGTCACGCGCGGCATTCGCATTCAAACCCAGAGTGTCTCCTGCTGCTGACCTCTCTGCAACTTTCAGGCGACCCTCAAGGCCCTTCACTCTTTCCTCTGCGTCCTCTCGTCCCTTCTCCGCCTCCTTCCATTCCCGCTCTGCTTCCTCCTTTCGCCTCTCTGCCTCCTCCCTTTGTCTTTCCGCCTCCTCCCTCTGTTTCTCTGCAGCATCCCTCTGTGCTTCTGCCTCTTTCAACCTCTGTTCCACCTCCTCCCTGCTCCCCCCCTCCTCCCTACTTCCACTCTCCCTCAATCCCTCTTCTCCGCACTTATCCACGCGTGCGTGTGCGTCCGTCTCCCTCAATGCCTCTTTCAAGCATGCCAGCTCAGCACTCGTGTCTGCCAGCCTGGCACTTGTATCTGCCAGCGTGGCATTCACAGCTTCCAGCTCACGCCTCAAGCCCTCCGCCTCTCCCTCTGCTCTCACAGCGTGCAGTTCAAGGTCTTTTAGTCGTGCACTCGCCTCCCTTTCATCGTCACGCCCAGCTACCCTTCCATCCGCCTCATCACTCCTGTCATCTGCTACACTGCTTCCATCCTCCCTTTCAACTCTTCTTCTATCAACTGACCCGCTTCCCTCCTCTGCTGCTGCATCAGCAAGCCCTCTCAGCACAGCACTCACCCCCTCGATCCTCTCACATTTGGCCTCAGCTTCCTCCAATCGCTGCTTGACACGTGCCAATTCCTCCTCCGCCTCTTTCCGCCTCTTCTTCTCCTCCTTCCGTTTCCCCTCCTCCTCCTTCCGCTTCTCCTTCTCCTCTTTCCTTTTCTGCTTCTCCTCCTTCCTCCCCTCCTCTTCCTCCTTCAACCTCCTCTCACACTCCTCCAACCTCCCAAATAATTCCCCTCTCTCCCTCTCTCTTTCCTTCTCCCTCTCCTCCAAACGCCCCTCCAGAGCAACCTTTTCCCTCTCCACGCACTCATACTTAACCAGCAAATCGGTTTTCGCCTTTTCTGCCACTGCGAGCTGCTCCCCTGCTTGTTGAAGTTCACCTTTCAACCGCTCTACATCCCCCCGCATCTCCTCCAATGCCTCTTTCTGTGGAAGGTAGGCGGAGGGAGCAAGTGCGCGGGGTAGGTCAGGTTGGAATGATAAGGGAGGGAAAAAGCGGGGTGGAAGGGTGGAAGGCAATGGGGATGGGGGGAGGGGGTGGATGGAGAGATGGTTGTAACTGGAGCGAGAAACAGGACAGGAGTTGTAACCGGGGTGCGAGGGAGATGAAACTGGGGCGCAAAAGGAATGCGGAATGCGGAATGAACACGAACTGAATGGAGAATGCGAGAGGACACGTGGACGGACCCGATGGCTCTTCTTCCCATCTTTGTGCTTCTTGCCCGTCGATTTGCCTTCCTCCTGCCCGTCCTGCTCACAAGGCATCACAAGGCATCACAAGGCATCAGAGTGGCGCGAGCTCAACAAAAGGAGAACAAAAAGCGCCTCAAGCGGAACGCCGCGGAAAGCTGGCGCAAGAAGGAAGGAGTAGCGGCGGAGCTAAAAAGAGTTTTGAGGCGTCTGAAATGTTGAGACGTCTCAAAACTCTTTCGAGACGTCTCAGAACGCCGCAGAAAGCTGGCGCAAGAAGACAGGAGTAGCGGCGGAGCTAAGAAGTACGCGCACGGGAGCCAGAACGGGACCCCCCGAAGGGAAGAGTACCTTCTGAGCCATTGCCGGGAACTTGAGACGTGAGCATTTTTTAGACTCCTCACTAACCGCATTTCGAACTGAAAAAACTTCCCCAGGTCCCAGTGTTCCCGGCAACGGCTCAGTGTACCTCTGAGGCTCTAGCATCTCCCTCAGATTAATCAGCTCACTGAGTCTAGCGTGGGAGTCTTCCGCATAAAAAGCATGCTTTCACTTACCTGTGCCTCCATTTCCCGCAACTGAGAACGCGCCTTGCCAACTATCCGAAACTCGCAACAGGCGTTTTTTTCGCTCGCATAAATACGTCGAATCAGCGGACGACCTCATCTGTGAACCTGCTGCGGTACGGACGCGCTGAGCAGCGGCTACTCCGCATATCTGCAGTCTGAATTAGGTGCCGATAATCGGTTGGTAGGTGGTTATCAAATTAGTCGTCAGGGCACGTCCCGAAAATACGTTTTTTGCCGAATACCCTATTCAACCATTCTGAAACATTACAAAACTTTCTAGATCGTATCAAGCCTCATCGAACCGCAATTGCGAGTTCGGTTGACACCAGGCGCGCGCCTCAGGGAGGGACCAAGCAAGGTTCAGGCCAGGCCCGGACGTTCTGTTCATGGGTACGTAGCTCACCGAACCGAAGTGTGATGCGGGGAGACGTAGGTACGAGACTGCAGAGAGCATCCAGTGTACGGCTCGGCAAAGTTTCTCACCCAGGCCATCCAAACCAAGCCGCCCCTGAGGCCGCCACAAGCCTTCCTTCCACACCGTTTTCCCTGCCCGCCAGTCACCTTCCTATATTTTTTTTACCGAACCAGCAGTATATAGCACTAGTGCTTTTTCTTCTGGTCGCTCTTTGTTTCCCAGACAATTTGCGGTGTATCAAAATATGGATATGCGACAAAGCTGATTCGAAAAGTTGTATTCTTATCCCAAAACTCAACCTCCGATTTGGGTAAATCCGTTCAAGCGTTTGTGACAAATTCCCCTAATCTGTTGAGTCCGCCAAACTCAAACCACCCTTTCGAATCTTCTATTCTTGGTCAACCGCTCGCGCTAGCCTCGTACCCGAGCCAGGAAGCCCACCAAGGCTTGTGTCTCCCATATAGACTGCCTAAAAATAATATACGAGCGTCGATGCTGTAGAACCACGAACAATCAAGCGTAAACGTTTGTGGAGTGAATATGAGCCCTTTGGAATTTGGAGTATCATTATACCCATCTCATCAGCCATGCTTGGAGTTTCCACTACATTCTCACAGCCTTCATTCTAGAAGCTCACACCATCCCAATTCTCACCCTTCGCCCCCTCTTACCTCATTTCCTTCACTATCTCCTCTCTTTCTTCTACCGATAAGGCTCTTGTAGTTTGCGTGTGATGGCATTTTAAGCCTTCACGTGTTGTCCCTTCAGCGTGTCATGGTCTGTCGATAGTCAAAAGTGTTACCTCCGCGCATCCTGATCGGATTTGCCTAGGATTCCTAGATCGCCGTCACATTGTAATCTGGTCGAATTCCGGTTCCTTCCGCCGAAATCCATGGTGTGCCCAGCATAGCCCCGAGGGTGCCTAACGAGCGCTCGTTTCAGTCACACACCGAACCGACTCCAACCATCTGCAGGCATTTCCTGAGTGCTCATCTGCGCAATTGCCATTTTCGTTTCCCGCTGTAGTGTCTGATCGTTCGGCGGACGCTGCAGCTCAGCAGCTTAAGGTTCTTCCGATCACCTCTTTAATCACGGGCTGGAGCTGCGGATATGGCGCTGACCGCAGCAGATGCTGGACCCATCTACAACCTGTTAGAAGCAGCTCTTAACGAGGCTACAAGGAAAGAGGCGGAACAGGCTCTTAACGCGTTCGAGACCCGCGTGGGTTTCTGCTCATGTCTCCTGGTACGACAGATGGAGGCCCCCTCTCTCTTGCCTTCTTAATTTTGAAGCGTTATCATGAGAGCTTGAAGCATAATCATCAGAGCTTGAAGCATTATCATCAGAGCTTGAAGCATTATCATGAGAGCTTGAGCGTTGTCCTGAGATGAGAGCTTTGTTGTCTTGTCATGCGACGGTTTCATTCATGAGACGGTTCATTTGACCTTCACTGAACCCCTCTTTTCCCCTCCGCCTCTCCCTAAATGCCGGCAGGAGATCATATCGCGCAAGGAGCTAGATCAGAAGGGTGGAGCTAGGTGGCTGGCGGCCATCTATTTCAAAAACAGCATTAACAGATACTGGCGGGCGAGACGAGAGACACAGTGAGTCACACTCGATCGCCTATAAACACATCTGGTCATTGACCAATTGCAATACAGGTGGCTGGCAGCCATTTATTTTAAGATTAGCATTAACAGATACTGGCGGGCGAGGCGAGAGATGCAGTGAGCCACACTCCCGTGTAAGCACATAATGTTCCTGTTTCCTCCTACCATCCTGTGGCCTTTCCATTTCCCCCACTCACCCCCCTCCCTCACACCCTCTCTCGCACGCTCCCACGCACCCTCCCTCACAACCTCCCTCACCCTACCTCAAACTCTTCCTCACCTCACCCTTCCTCACAACCTCCCTCACCCTCTCTCACCCGCACAGGGGCATATCAGACGAGGAGAAGCCGGTGCTGAGAGCGCGGTTGCTGGAGCTAGTAGCAGATGAGAACAGCCATGTCAAGTGGCCGTGAGAGTCACAGAGGAGAGGTGCAGAGTCAAGTAAACTTTTACCCTTTGTCTCGGCTCTCCCACCCGCATTGCCTCACCCGCACAGGGGCATATCAGACGAGGAGAAGCCAGTGCTGAGAGCGCGGCTGTTGGAGCTAGTAGCAGACGAGAACAGCCAGGTGGCCGTGCAGCTGGCCGTGCTGATTGCTAAGATCGCCCGCATCGACTACCCCAGGGAATGGTGAGGGAGGGACGGGCGTGAATGGTGTGAAGTGGGGCGTTTTGGCCTTGGCCTACGCACATCCAGCAAGGCTGTTGGATCCAAGTGCCGCATGGCCACTTGGCTGTTGGATACAGTGGCAGATGAGGACAGCCAAGTGGCCATGCGGCTCGCCGTGCTGGTTGTTAAGATTGCCAGCATTGATTACCCCACGGACTGGTGAGTCAGGCATGGGCGCGAGTGGTGAGGGATGGGCGTGAATGATGAGTTGGTGTATGTATGAGGGATTGGCTGGCATGGCAATAAAATGCACTACTCCATCGCAATTTTGTCATTGGAATTTCTCATAAGTGGTTGTCATATCACGACTCACCACGGTTTCCATGCAGTCACACCGATGGCCATGCAATGTGATGCCATACGATCCCACACGATGCCTATTGATGCCTTGTGTTGCCACATGATGCAATGTGATGTCATATGTGATTCCATATGATATGATGCCATGCAATGCCATATTATGCCATGTGCTGTGCTGCCACATCATGTCATGCCGTGCATGCAAGGTCAGGTCAGAGCTATTTCCCACACTCCTGCTGAAGCTTCATACTGAGGACCCTCTGCTCACACAGCGCACCTATCTTTTTGTGCTTAATCATGTGCCGTCTGATCCCATATGTTCCCACGTGCTGCCATGCGATCCCACATCATGCCACATGCATGCGAGGGCAGGTCCGAGCTATTCCCCACGCTCCTGCAGAAGCTGCAGAGTCAGGACCCTCTGCTCACACAGCGTGCCTATATGGTTCTTAATCACGTACTTAAAGAACTCTCAACCAAGCGCCTGAGTGTGGACCAACGCACCTTTTCTCAGGTAAGAGCCAAGCTAGGTAGGTACTTAACCACATGCCTTAATGAACTTTCAACTAAGCGCATAAGTGTGGTGTGGTGTGGTGGATCAGTGCACGTTCACTCAGGTAAGAGCTAGCGTCAAAACACACTACATCTCTCCGTTGGTGAAGGTGAAAAGCTGTAAGACCAAGGATAGAAAATACCGAGGATCACCTTTCTCAAAAATTTCCCGCCTCTCCCCTCCCCCACATTTTTTTGTCCTTTTCTCAGGTGACCAGCCAGCTGTTTGAGCCCACCTGGGCGCACTGGGTGAGAGACACAGGGTCACTGCTGCAGGGCCTAACCGCCCTTGAGGCTGGAGGGTCAGACCCAGCAGCAGCAGCAGCAGGGGCAGGGGCAGCAGGAGGGGCGCTGATGCTGCTGTGTGAGCGGTGGCTGCTGTGTGTGAAGACTCTTCGTCGCATGCTCGTGTTTGGCTTCCCTTCTGATTTCAAATCCGTTCAGGCAAGTAAGTCGCTGCGTGCGTGGTGTGGGGGGCCTTCTTGTGTGTTTCAGCACCTTCTGTCTGTCACCATCACCGGCAACCTATCACCGTCTCTCATTTATCCTCCTTGCTTCCTACCGTGGGAGCAATTTCAACGAATATGGAATGGCATCTCAATATATGTTTCATTACTTTCAAGTGTTGAGAAGAATGGAGAATGCTGACCTTGAAGAGTATTGAAACAAGCAATGCTCTGCAGCCCTTTATTGTCACACATTGCGCTGACTGATAGCAACTTTTCCTTCAAGAAAGCGCAGTTACCTTTCCTCTTTCCCTGTGCACCTCTTATTTTCATCCTTCCCCTTTACAGGAGGTTCCGGTACTGGAACAAGTGGTGCCCGCATTTCTTGAAGCAGCGCAATCGCTTCTCAACTTCCGTAAGCCACATTTCTCCCCGCCACACAACAAACCACTTGGCATTGTTCGCAAGTTTTTGTCTTGGAAAAGGTACACAAACGCTCTCTCTCTGTGAATCGACGCTCTCTCTGTGAATGGACGCTCTCTCTCTTTGAATGGACGCTCTCTCTCTTTGAATGGACGCTCTCTCTGTGAATGGACGCTCTCTCTGTGAATGGACGCTCTCTCTCTGTGAGTCGACGCTCTCTCTCTGTGAGTCGACGCTCTCTCTCTGTGAGTCGACGCTCTCTCTCTGTGAGTCGACGCTCTCTCTCTGTGAGTCGACGCTCTCTCTCTGTGAGTCCTCATTCGTGAGTTAGAACAGCAAAGTACAGTAGAGTTTTGGGAATTGAAAGACCAACCTATGATTTTCCATCCCTCCTCTTCCCCACCCCACTCTCCTGCCTCTCTGCTCCATTCCCTGCTCACACACAGGTAATATCTCACAGCAGCGCCCAGCCCTGCACCCCCTGCACACCTTCCTCTCCCGCGCCGCATTCAAGCTCCTCAAGACGCTCGTGGCCTCCCACGAGCTGCACCCCTTGCTGTGCGATACCTCATAGTAGAACAAACCGTCCCCTTCCCTTCCCCACACCCCTGTCCCTATGCTCCATTCTCAATTCCCTGTTCCCACCCAGGCAATCTCTCCCAGCAGCGCCCAGCCCTGCAACCCCTGCACACCTTCCTCTCCCGCGCCTCAGTCAAGCTACTCAAAACGCTCGTCGCCTCCCACGAGCTGCACCCCTTCTCATTCGCCTCCAAAAACGTCCTCCTGCCCACCCTCGACTTCTGCTACACACAGATCACCACCACCAACCCCACCGCCTCCTCCCCCTCCCCATCCCTCTCCACCCCTCTTGCTGCTGCTACCAGTCCACAAACCCCCGCAACCGCCGCCGCCGCCGCTGCTGCGGCTACTGATGCGTCCGCCTCCTCTTCAGCTTCCAGCCACGGCCTGTTTCTGATAGAGTGTATGCTGTTTCTGCAGAGTGTGCTGCGATGTGTGGCATACAAGCAGAACCCCACGGGGCATGTGGTGGGGGCGGCAGTGGCATCTGCTGAGGAGATGAGGGGGAAGCTGTCAGGCATGGCCCGGCAGCAGCTGCAGGGGTTCTTCTCGCAGGAGAAAGTGGTTACTCTGGGGGAGAGCTCGTGCAACGGTGAGTCTAGCACCTCTCAGTAGTTTTGCATGTGCGATTTGATCAGCCTGGTGGGGAAGCTGTCAGGCATGGCGCGGCAGCAGCTGCAGGCGTTCTTCTCGCGGGAGGAAGTGGTTACGCTAACACTGAGACGCGTGCTCGTGCAACGGTGAGTCTCAGATGCGATGTGCGAAAACATGCTCAGGATGCTCATGCTCCACACCTCGTCTTCCCTCTTTCTCTCCGCACCCGTTCCGCTCCCCTCCTGGCAGCCACTTGGTTCTGACAGCAGCAGATTTGGAAGAGTGTTGGTCGGAATCAGAGGTGTTCTATCACGAGGAGGGCGCCGTGCAGTGATAGGATAAGCTGCGACCTTCCTTGCCCTCTCTCTTCTTTCACTCCTGCCTGTTTCCCTCCTCTGTCTCACTCACAGCTACCTGGTGCTGACAGCAGGGGACTTAGAGGAGTGGGGGGCGGATCCAGAGGTGTTTTATCACGAGCAGGGCGCCGTGCAGTGGAAGGACAAGCTGCAGCTGTGCCAGTCCTCTCTTTTCCACCTCTCCCTCTTTCTCGCCCTGCCCGATTCCCTCCTCTGTCTCTTCTCGCAGCTACTTGGTGCTGACAGCAGCGGATTTAGAGGAGTGGGGGGCGGACCCAGAGGTGTTCTATGACGAGCAGGGCGCCGTGCAGTGGAAGGACAAGCTGCGACCCCCCTTGACCCGTCTCCTCTTTCTCTCCTGCCTGTCTCCCTCCTCCATACCCACACAGCTACCTGGTGCTGACATCAGCGGATTTAGAGGAGTGGGGGGCGGATCCAGAGGTGTTCTATGACGAGCAGGGCACCGTGCAGTGAAAGGACAAGCTGCGACCCCCCTTGACCCGTCTCCTCTTTCTCTCCTGCCTGTCTCCCTCCTCCATACCCACACAGCTACCTGGTGTTGACAGCAGGGGACTTAGAGGAGTCGGGGGCGGACCCAGAGGTGTTCTATCACGAGCAGGGCGCAGTGCAGTGGAAGGACAAGCTGCGACCCTCCTCGTACCCTCTCCATCTCTCCCTCTCATCATCTGTTTCCCTCCCCTGTCTCGCTGACAGCTATCTGGTGCTGACAGCAGGGGATTTAGAAGAGTGGGGTTTGGACCCAGAGGTGTTCTATCACGAGCAGGGCGCCGTGCAGTGGAAGGACAAGCTGCGACCGTGTGCTGAGGCGCTGCTGTTGTTGTTGTTTGAGCAATTCAAGGAGGTATGGAATGATGACATGAGATGCAGGTAGGTGTTCTATCACGAGCAGGGCGCCGTGGAGTGGAAGGAAAAGCTGCGGCTCTGTGCAGAGGCGCTGCTGCTGCTGTTGTTTGAGCAATTCAAAGAGGTATGGCAGCGCTGCTGCTGCTGCCGAAATTTTCTTGCATTCTCCCTATTTCACATATTGTGATATTTTATACGTCTCAATAATTTTCTCCTTGCGCCCCCCATAGTCACAGTAATTAACGCGCCTCATCAAATCTGCCTGCTGCTAAAGACTTCCTCTTCACCCTTCGTCCTCCCTCCCATCAGGTGCTCTCCCCAGCCCTCATGAACATGCTACGGCAGTGCATAGAGGCATGCCCCCCGCCTGCTTCCCCTGATGCCGACGTGCCTGTCACCCCGGCTCTGCTACTCAAGGACGCATGCTATGATGCCGTGGGGGTGGCGTGTTATGATCTGCACGATGTTGTGGACTTCAAGACATGGTGAGTGCGCTGATGGTGGGTGCTGTGGGAGTGGTTCTACCTATATGTCGACGGGCCTGTCACCCCGGCTCTGCTACTCAAGGACGCGTGCAATGATGCCGTGGGGGTGGCGTGCTATGATCTACACGACGTTGTGGACTTCAAAACATGGTGAGTGAATTTTGTGTTGTGCGGTGGGTGGTGATGGGTGCTGTGCGGTTGACAGCTGACACCGACGGGCCTGTCACCCCGGCTCTGCTGCTCAAAGACGCTTGCTACGATGCTGTGGGGGTGGCGTGCTACGATCTACACGATTTGGTGGACTTTAGAACATGGTGAGTGAGTGATGGCTCTGTATGGTGGTTCACTGAACCCAGACGTGACGTGTGTGCCTGTCTCCCCGGCTCTGCTGCTCAAGTGTGCATGCTACGATGCTGTGGGGGTGGCGTGCTATGATCTACGTTGTAGACTTCAAGACATGGTGAGAGAGTGATGGTGCTGTGCTGTGGAGGTGCTGTGATGGTGCTGTGTGTGTGAATAAAGTCGGAACCCCCACTGCAGATATGCGTGCCTGTCGCCCCGGTCCTGCTGCTCAAGGATGATCCCGTGCGAGCAGCACAAGGACATGCGTACACAAGGAGCCGAACTCCATTTCTTTCTCTCACCCCTCGTACCCTCGCAGGTTCACCACAGCACTCCTCCCAGACATGGCATGCCGCCACCCCAACGCGCGGATCCTGCGCAGGCGGGCAGCATGGATGGTGGGGCAGTGGGTGGGCAAGGTGGAGGGAGATCTCTGTGTGCCAGCCTACCAGGCGCTCATTTCCCTGCTGCCAGATGAAGACCTCGTGGTCCAGGTGAGTTCAGTGCGGTGCAGCACGGTTCAGTGCAACCCAGTGCGATTTAGTGCGGTTCAGTGCGGTGCTGGCTGCACAGGGTGTGGGCTAGCAGCGTGGATGGTGGGGCAGTGGGTGGGCAAGGTGGAGGGCGACCTGTGTGTGCCAGCCTACCAGGCGCTCATCTCCCTGCTGCCAGATGAAGACCTGGTGGTCCAGGTGGGTTCAGTGCGGTGCAGCGCGGTCCAGTGCGGTGCAGTGCGGTGCAGTGCAGTGCAGTGGCGGTTTAGTGCGGTGCAGTATGGTGCAGGCTGTAGCATCTGCTGGTGGGAGGGCAGCGTGGATGGTGGGGCAGTGGGTGGGCAAGGTGGAGGGCGACCTATGTGCCAGCCTACCAGGCGCTCATCTTCCTGCTGCCAGACGGCGATCTGGTGGTCCAGGTGAGTTCAGCGCGGTGCAGTGCGATCTAGTGCGGTGCAGGCTGTAGCATCTGCTGGTAGGTGGGAAGCGTGGAGGGCGACCTCTGTGTGCCAGCCTACCAGGCGCTCATCTCCCTGCTGCCAGATGAAGACCTGGTGGTGCAGGTGAGATGCGGCGCAGTGCGGTGCAGTGCAGTTTAATGCAGTAAATTCACCTCATTGCTGTCTCGGCCTTGCGCGTGCCTCTTAGTCGACATGCATTTTTACGAGGACCAGTTCCCTTCTTCACACATTGTTTCCTTATTTTCCGCTCCCCCCACTGCTCTTCCCGCACATCCCCGCCGTCCTCAGCTCACAGCAGTGTCCTCTCTCCGCACGCTCATAGACGATGTGCATTTCTATGAGGACCAATTCGCCCTCTTCCCCAACGCTTCCTCTTTCCTTCCCCCTTCCCTCGACACCTCCCCCACTCTGCCCATCCATCAGCTCACAGCAGTGTCCTCTCTCCGCACGCTCATTGACGACGTGCATTTCTACGAGGATTAATTCGCTCCCTTCCTCAATGCGTCTCCCTCTCTTCCACCCCCATCCCCCACTCTGCCCACCATTCCCCAGCTCACAGCAGTGTCCTCTCTCCGCACGCTCATTGACGACGTGCATTTCTACGAGGATTAATTCGCTCCCTTCCTCAATGCGTCTCCCTCTCTTCCACCCCCATCCCCCACTCTGCCCACCATTCCCCAGCTCACAGCAGTGTCCTCTCTCCGCACGCTCATTGACGACGTGCATTTCTACGAGGATTAATTCGCTCCCTTCCTCAATGCGTCTCCCTCTCTTCCACCCCCATCCCCCACTCTGCCCACCATTCCCCAGCTCACAGCAGTGTCCTCTCTCCGCACGCTCATTGACGACGTGCATTTCTATGAGGACCAATTCGCTCCTTTTCTCGACACGGCAGTGCAGCTGCTCTTCCGATGCCTGCAGCAGGTGATGCGCATGACACACACACACACATGATGCACAAGATGCATGCACATGGTGCCTCCAGCATCATGCATTGTATTGTATATATCGTGGCTTGTGAGCGCTGTATACACCAGCAGCATCAACCGCTCTTCCACTGCCTGCAGCAGGTGATGCACATGATGCCTGACATCCACCCAAAAACTGGCAATAGTAGATCGATATAGACTCATGCAGGGCGCCTCATGCCAGCTATTGTGATGCACGCAGCCCACGTGTACTCTCTCAGATGCCTCATCGTAGGGTTTTTTTGAGAATTCTCAAAACCACCCTACATTGCCAGCTATTGTGATGCACGCACGCAGCACACGTGTACTCTCCGATACGTGTACTCTCCGATACGTGTACTCTCCGATACGTGTACTATCCGATACGTGTACTCTCCGATACGTGTACTCTCCGATACGTGTACTCTCCGATACGTGTACTCTCCGATACGTGTACTCTCAGATACCTCATCGTATCACAAACCACGCACCACGTATCGGCATCCTTACTCTCAATATGCACCACAAACCACCTCCCTTCTCTCTTTCTATCTCCCCTTGCATCACTGACAGGTATCCGAGTTTGATTCGCAGCTGCGGATAGTGAACGTGGTGTCGCTCATCATAGAGCGACTTTTGAGTCGACTCAAAAGCTGCAGATAGTGAATGTGGTGTCGCTCATCATAGAGCGACTTTTGAGTCGACTCAAAAGCTGCAGATAGTGAACGTGGTGTCGCTCATCATAGAGCGACTTTTGAGTCGACTCAAAAGCTGCAGATAGTGAACGTGGTGTCGCTCATCATAGAGCGACTTTTGAGTCGACTCAAAAGCTGCAGATAGTGAACGTGGTGTCGCTCATCATAGAGCGACTTTTGAGTCGAATCAAAAGCTGCAGATAGTGAACGTGGTGTCGCTCATCATAGAGCGACTTTTGAGTCGACTCAAAAGCTGCAGATAGTGAATGTGGTGTCGCTCATCATAGAGCGACTTTTGAGTTGACTCAAAAGCTGCAGATAGTGAACGTGGTGTCGCTCATCATAGAGCGCATGGGGGAGATGAATATCGTTCCTCTGGCCGACAAGATCACTCCTTCCGTCACTCTCTCTAATCTCTCTCTCTCTATTTATGTGCCTCCCTTTCTAATCTCTCCTTGCGTCACTCTCTCCTTGCATCTCTCTCCCTCCCCTTCCAACAGGTATCGGAGTTTGATTCGCAGCTGCAGATAGTGAACGTGGTTTCGCTCATCATAGAGCGCATGGGGGAAAAGATTGTTCCTCTGGCCTGCTTCTTTTAAAAGATCTAAAAAACAGCCTGGATGATCGTCCACTAACCTGTTTTTTGAGGCGACTTCCCCTATACTCTCTCCTTGCATCACTCTCCCTTTGCCTCTCCCTTTGCATCACTCACAGGTGTCGGAGTTTGATTCGCAGCTGCAGATAGTGAACGTGGTCTCGCTCATCATAGAGCGCATGGGGGAGAAGATCGTTCCTCTGGCCGACAAGATCCTCTCGTGCTTGCCTCAGGTGAGTGTGATGTAACACGTGTGGGATGCCTTGTGATTGTCGTGATCATGTCAGCCTTGGGATTGTCGTGATCATGTCAGCCTTGGGATTATCGTGATCATGTCAGCCTTGGGATTGTTGTGATCATGTCAGCCTTGGGATTGTCGTGATCATGTCAGCCTTGGGATTATCGTGATCATGTCAGCCTTGGGATCATCGTGATCATGTCAGCCTTGGGATTGTCGTGATCATGTCAGCCTTGGGATTGTCGTGATCATGTCAGCCTTGGGATAGTCGTGATCATGTCAGCCTTGGGATCATCGTGATCATGTCAGCCTTGGGATTGTCGTGATCATGTCAGCCTTGGGATTATCGTGATCATGTCAGCCTTGGGATCATCGTGATCATGTCAGCCTTGGGATTGTCGTGATCATGTCAGCCTTGGGATTGTCGTGATCATGTCAGCCTTGGGATTATCGTGATCATGTCAGCCTTGGGATCATCGTGATCATGTCAGCCTTGGGATCATCGTGATCATGTCAGCCTTGGGATCATCGTGATCATGTCAGCCTTGGGATTATCATCTCATCGTGTCACTCGGCCCGCAGTCCCCGATCTTCTACCCACTGCTCTTCCCTTTCCAGATTATTTTGCACCTACCCATACCAAACCTTGCTGCTCTGTACCCTATGCCTCCGCTCTCACCAGGTGTGGGAGCAATCAGAAGGGCAGCCGCTGCTACGCATTCAAGTCATGCAGGCGTTACAACGGCTTATACTTCCCCCTATTCCTCATGCTTCTGCTCCCAACATGCCTCCCCTCTCACCAGGTGTGGGAGCAATCAGAGGGGCAGCCGCTGCTACGCATTCAAGTCATGCAGGCGTTGCAACGCCTCATCGTGTCGCTCGGCCCGCAGTCTCCGATCTCCTACCCGCTGCTCTTCCCCATCCTGCGCTACAGCACCGACATCTCCCAGCCTGATGAACTCAATATGCTGGAGGACGGGCTTCAGGTAAACCTCTTCTGTATGCATCATTTGAGTGTACTGGAAAGACTCATCTCCTACCCGCTGCTCTTCCCCATCCTGCGCTACAGCACCGACATTTCTCAGCCAGATGAACTCAACATGCTGGAAGATGGGCTACAGGTGCGCATGCTTGTGTGTGCGTGTGTATCCATTCCCCATAATCCAGGGCAGGGGGTAGTCATATTCCTCTCTCGTAAGAATCTCGTACCCGCTGCTCTTCCCCATCCTGTGCTACAGCACCGACATCTCTCAGCCTGACGAGCTCAACATGTTAGAAGACGGATTGCAGGTAAACCTTTCGTGTGTGTTTCCAACCAGTTCTCCTTCACCTGTCCCTGTAACATTTGTGTAAAACCACTCGAACGGCACGTCTCCTACCCGCTGCTCGTCCCCATCCTGCGCTACAGCACCGACATCTCCCAGCCGGATGAACTCAACATGTTAGAAGACGGTTTGCAGGTGTGTGTGTGCGTGGACGTGTGAGAAAGTTCCCTATAGTAAGGGGTACATACTGCGTCTGCTGCTCTTCCCCATCCTGCGATACAGCACCGATATATCCCAGCCCGATGAGCTTAACATGCTGGAAGACGGTTTGCAGGTAAACCATTCCTTTCCACATCCTCCATCTGTGGTTAGTGTTGATGCACTCATGGGAGAGAGCACTGCTCTTCCCCATCCTGCGCTACAGCACCGACATCTCCCAGCCAGATGAACTCAACATGCTGGAGGACGGGCGGGCTTCAGGTGAGTGTCTCTCTAGGACCACTTTCTCTACAAACCACAATCCAACAGCTTCTTTTAATTTGTCTCGTACTGTCCTCTTGCTCGTCTTTGCCTCTGACTTACTTTCTCTTCCTCCTCTTGCACCTCACTCACACCCCTCCACTCGTCGCAGTTATGGCAAGCCACACTACGCTATAGCGAGCACCAGCCATGATGCCGGAACTCATGTTCACCCCCCGCACTCTCTCTTCATACCCCCCCACTCCTCGCAGCTATGGCAAGCCACACTGCGCCATGCACCAGCCATGGTACCGGAATTCATGACTCTCTTCGCCAACCTCGTGCCCATCATGGACCGCAGCTTTGAGCACCTGCCGGTAAGCCATTTGCATTGCCAGGTGAGCCATTGACATTGCCAAATAAGCTAGTGAGCCCTTCCCATTGTGTCCCCTTGTTGGTGAACTCATGACTCTCTTCGCCAACCTCGTGCCCATCATGGACCGCAGCTTTGAGCACCTGCCGGTAAGCCATTTGCATTGCCAGGTGAGCCATTGACATTGCCAAATAAGCTAGTGAGCCCTTCCCATTGTGTCCCCTTGTTGGTGAACTCATGACTCTCTTCGCCAACCTCGTGCCCATCATGGACCGCAGCTTTGAGCACCTCCCGGTAAGCCATTTGCATTGCCAGTTGAGCCTTCGGCATTGCCAGGTGATTGTTGGAGGGAGCTGATCAAGCATAAGGTTGGCCTTGCTCACTTGAACCAAGGCGCGCGCGTGGACCAAGGCGCGCGCGTGGACCAAGGCGCGCGCGTGGACCAAGGCGCGCGCGTGGACCAAGGCGCGCGCGTGGACCAAGGCGCGCGCGTGGACCAAAGCGCGCGCGTGGACCAAGGCGCGCGCGTGGACCAAGGCGCGCGCGTGGACCAAGGCGCGCGCGTAGACCAAGGCGCGCGCGTGGACCAAGGCGCGCGCGTGGACCAAGGCGTGCGCGTGGACCAAGGCGCGCGCGTGGACCAAGGCGCGCGCGTGGACCAAGGCGCGCGCGTGGGACCAAGGCGCGCGCTTGGACCAAAGCGCGCGCGTGGACCAAGGCGCGCGCGTGGACCAAGGCGCGCGCGTAGACCAAGGCGCGCGCGTAGACCAAGGCGCGCGCGTGGACCAAGGCGCGCGCGTGGACCAAGGCGCGCGCGTGGACCAAGGCGCGCGCGTGGACCAAGGCGCGCGCGTAGACCAAGGCGCGCGCGTGGACCAAGGCGCGCGCGTGGACCAAGGCGCGCGCGTGGACCAAGGCGCGCGCGTGGACCAAGGCGCGCGCGTGGACCAAGGCGCGCGCGTGGACCAAGGCGCGCGCGTGGACCAAGGCGCGCGCGTAGACCAAGGCGCGCGCGTGGACCAAGGCGCGCGCGTGGACCAAGGCGCGCGCGTGGACCAAGGCGCGTGCGTGGACCAAGGCGCGCGCGTGGACCAAGGCGCGCGCGTGGACCAAGGCGCGCGCTTGGACCAAAGCGCGCGCGTGGACCAAGGCGCGCGCGTGGACCAAGGCGCGCGCGTAGACCAAGGCGCGCGCGTGGACCAAGGCGCGCGCGTGGACCAAGGCGCGCGCGTGGACCAAGGCGCGCGCGTGGACCAAGGCGCGCGCGTAGACCAAGGCGCGCGCGTGGACCAAGGCGCGCGCGTGGACCAAGGCGCGCGCGTGGACCAAGGTGCGCGCGTGGACCAAGGCGCGCGCGTGGACCAAGGCGCGCGCGTGGACCAAGGCGCGCGCGTGGACCAAGGCGCGCGCGTGGACCAAGGCGCGCGCGTGGACCAAGGTGCGCGCGTGGACCAAAGCTGCGCGCGTGGTCCAAGGCGCGCGCAGACCAAGGCGCGCGGTAGTGACCGCCATCATGGAGAGCTATGTGCTGGTTGGTGGGCCAGTTTTCCTGAAGCAGCATGGTTGCACGTGTGTCTACCGCCTACATGTTTCTAATGTTTACCCTACCTACGCCACTCCCAACGGCCAGGTAGCCACATTAATCATGGAGAGCTAAGTGCTGGTGGGCGGGCGCGCGTTCCTGCAGCAGGAGTGCATTCTAGCGTGATACCGTATGGGTCCGTATTTCAACTCGCAGGTGGCCACGGCAATCATGTTGAGCTATGTGCTGGTGGGCGGGCCAGTGTTCCTGCAGCAGCATGCTTGTGTGTCTACTGCATGTTACTAATGTGGTACACTACTCTACCCTGACTGTCCATTCAAACTGCCAGGTAGCCACAGCAATAATGGAGAGCTATGTGCTGGTGGGCGGGCCGGCGTTCCTGCAGCAGCATGCGGGGAGCCTCACGTGTTGCCTGTGCATGCGTATGTTCTTAACGTGTTCCATGCCTTTGCCACTCGAACTTGCAGGTGGCCACAGCAATCATGGAGAGCTATGTGCTGGTGGGCGGGCCGGCGTTCCTGCAGCAGCACGCAGGGAGCCTCGTGTCAATGATTGATGCGGTGGTGGGGAATGTGAAGGAGAAGGCGATGCTGCTGGTGGCGGGGCTTGTAGACCTCATCATCCAGGTGAGAGACAAACTTGTACGGCTAGCGTCTGTGTAGTGAGTCGGGCAATGGCATAGGGGAAGGCTGGCCTTGTGGGGATGATTGACGCGGTGGTGGGGAATGTGAAGGAGAAGGCCATGCTGCTGCTGATGCGACTGCAAGGAAGCAGTGTTTTTTTGTGCGTCTTAGTAATTGTGGTTTGCATTGCCTTGTGTCTCTTTTTGCAGTGTTATCCATCAGAGGCCCCTCCTGCTCTCGAGTCCGTCCTTCAGGTGACAATCAGCAATAAATAGGAAGAACGGTGTAGGCCACTTGCTGATTCTGCTGCTTCAGTGTGCATTAGAAGCAAGAAGCAGGAAGAATGGCGTGCATTAGAAGCAACATTCCTATTTGTTGTTTGCTTTCTTGTGTCAATTTGAGGAGAAAATGCAATCACTCATGCTGTTGATCTGTTTTATGTCGCCTATCCTTCCTTCTCTTCCCCTCCATCGTGCCCATTCCTTAGTCTTTTTCCATGGCCTTTTTCCAAAGTTATATTCCTCCTCCTGTCCTTCACCCCGCATTGCAGAAACTGCTGCTGATAATCATCGGACCAACAGAATACTCTGACCTCGTTAGAGGCACATGCGCCACAGTGCTCGCACGGGTGGTGCTACAGAACAGCTCCTACTTCGCCCAGTTCATATCCGCCGACTCGACTCGCCACCTGCTGCAGCAGCAGTCAGCAGCAAAGGGCAACGCCCCTCCCCTTGCGCTATTCCTGGATGCTTGGTTGGATAAGGTGGGTGCTACCACTGCTCTCTCCCTCTCTCTTTCTCTGGCAAAACGACCTCATTCTTACCATCTGTCCACAGTTGCCCTTTCGTCTTCTCTCCCTTACCTCCCTCTCTGCTCCCCTCCCTCCCTGCTCCCCTCCCTTCCTGCTCCCTTCCTGCCCTCCTCCTCCCCCACAGGTCGACTCTGTCTCAGTTCCAGCAAAGCGGAAACTTTCCACTCTGGCCCTGGCATTGCTGTTGACGATGCCACAGCCGCAGATACTGGAGAGACTCGACCTCATTGTCTCTATCTCTATTCACCACTGCTCGTCGTCTCCCCTCCCTCCCTCCCTCCCTCCCTTCCACAGGTCGACTCTGTCTCAGTACCAGCGAAACGGAAACTCTCCACTCTGGCCCTGGCAGTGCTGCTCACAATGCTCTCTTCTCTCCGTGTGCACTGGCTCTTTATTTTCCTCCCTTCCCCACCCCCTTCCTCCCCCACAGGTGGACTCTGTCTCAGTTCCAGCGAAGCGGAAACTTTCCACTCTGGCCCTGGCAGTGCTGCTGACGATGCCTGAGCCACAGATACTGGAGAGACTCGACCTCATTCTCTCCGTCTGCACGGGCTCTCTTGGGGAGGACAATCCCGACAACACGCCGTTGCTGCCAGACATCTCCACCGTTGGGTGAGTTGCTAACTTCTCGTGACAGCCCTAGTTGGGAAAGGTGAGACCTCATTCTCTCTGTCTGCACAGGCTCTCTGGGAGAGGACGATCCCGACAACACGCCACTGCTGCCAGACATCTCCACGGTTGGGTGAGTTGCCGGCTTCTCGTGACGGCCTTCATCAGGAAGGGGCTCGACCTCATACTCTCTGCCGGTAGCTTTTGAGTCGACTCAAAAGGGGCTCGACCATGTTTTTTGAGAATTCTCAAAACGTGTTTTTTGAGAATTCTCAAAAGGGGCTTGACCTCATACTCTCTGCCGGTAGCTCCCGTGACGAGAAGGCCAAGACACAGAGGCGTCCTTAGTCCCCGTGCACTGGGTGGGGGTGCGTGGGGAATATGGCTGGCTGGCACCCTTGTACCCCGTGCAATGTGCTGCCTTCCTGCTCCAATCTCTGTTCCCCAACCAACCCCGGTCCGCCCACTTCCCCACTCCACACCCCTCTTCCCCCCTGCAGTCACGACTATGCGTCTGTCTCGGATTACAAACAAGGAGGAGAAGGAGCTCCAGTGGAGTGGCAGGCGCTGAGGCGGCGCCAAGTAGCATCCATAGACCCCGTGCACCGGGTCACCATGGGTGGGCGATATGGGCCCTTGTGTAGACCCCATGCCAGGTAGCGTCCATAGACCCCGTGCACCGGGTAGCAGTGGGGCCGTTCCTGAAGGCAAACCCCCTTTTGCCCCTCTCCCTCTCCTCTCCCCACATCTGCCCCCTACAGCTACGACTATGCATCGGTATCAGACTCGATTCAGGGAGGGGAAGGTGCTCCCGTGGAGTGTGAGGCTCTGAGGCGGCGCCAAGTAGCATCCATAGACCCCGTGCACCGGGTAGCAGTGGGGCCGTTCTTAAAGGAGAAGCTGCAGGCGTGTGTGGCTGTGCATGGGGAGCAGCAATTCCAAGCCGCCATGGCCCGCGTTCCCCCGCCTATTGTGTCTCAGTTGCAGCAGCTCTAGTTCCCGTTCGTACTCGGCCTTAAGAAGGATACATGTTGTGTTGCAGGCGCCTCAACGTTTGCTGTATTGAGGCATAAATGGTCGTTTATAAACCCTTAGTTATAGCAGATGTAGTCCTGTCCTGGGCTTCAAGACTCTTGAGTTTGTTCTCATAACCTCTGAATTTAAAGTCAGCTGGATTAATCCACCCATGAGCAGGGTATGAATTTTAGAGATGCAGTTAACTGTGGCGAAATAAGATAATTTTGAAGCATGGACTAAGAACATTCTTTTCCTGACAAAAAGAAGGGAGTTTAAAGCCCAAAACCTGAATTACAAAAAAAGAGGGCAAACTGTGCACAGTTTGCCTGCCGCGCCCCAGAGTTTTGCCTGCAGTTGACTTCCGTTGAACAATTCAGGTTTTGGGTTTTAAGATAAGTCATGAACAATAACCTCAGGGGTTTGGCTGACAAATTGTGTTACAGGTCATTTTCACCAGTGCACGAAAATGGTTGCACCTGATTCGCAGCTGCCCAGGCAGGGACGCCTACGATTAGATGTGAAAGTTCTTGTTTTTTTGCGACTTGCACTGCCCTTCAGCTGATATTTGGTGAGCGAGAGTATGTGGTGTTGCTTGAACTCGCCAGGGAGTCATTTTTTTCCGCGCATAAACTTGTAGAATACGCCCGTGTCAGGTCAGATGGTCATTTTTAAAAAGAACGTCCGCCGTCACTTCGTCGTGGCTGACGGCTGCCCGAGTCCACTCCTGGAGCGGCTCCGTCAAGCCTCAGCATTTCTCGATGTACATCGCCGTAAGACACGGAAATTCCTAGGCAATGGCGGCGCGCTGCGAGCGCTCTGCTCCACCAGACCTGGCCCATCAAAGTGACGGTGGAACCAATCCCAAAGAGATGCATCTCAGGGTTCACTCTGGTGTGCAATGGTCTGAAGCTTGGAGATTTGAAAGCAATTGTACGGAGTTGGAGATAGCTACGCAACGCAACCCAAAAAACTACCAGCAATTATTGTACTGTGAAGTCCGTGGAATGGAACCACAGCAGCAGCAGTATCGTACCTGGCTGAACAACTAATAACGCCGTGTTTCACATCACACCAATAATTCCGTTCCGAGCACACGGAGGAGATAAGGTTGCCATAGAGAATAAAGCTATGAGCTTAGAGCTGACGTATCCCGTCCCACCATGAACTAGTTAAACGGTTCATCGAAGACCTCTTATCATTCTTGATACTATCTGACCTTTTAGAAGTTGCCTCATCTCGTCATTCTCAGCTGACTTATCACCATCTTGCTGCACCTCACTGCACCTCGCTGTACCCAGACGCTCTGCGATCTGTTACGCATTTCGCTTACCTGAAGCTCTTTATGCTGCGGGACGCTGCGTCAAACTAGCACTGAACGCGGAAGTACTAGCACTTAAGGCGGAAGCGCTGATTTAATACTGCTCGTCTCGTCGTCAGGATACAAAAAACATGCGGAAAGTTGCGACGTTTCTGTTAGTAGCAGTTCTTCTGGTTGTCGGCTCAGGCGATGCAGAAGCACTCCACTCTTTAGGTAAGATCCAACGGCAGTGTTTTATGCGAAATGCCGCCTTATTATTTCAGGTGCTTCTCGGATGGTTCCTGTAGCTAAGATCCTCGAGTAGATCAAATCCCAAGGTTCTCGTGCGAACATGTGCAGGAAATGAGCGACAGGGTCAGCGACGGATTCTGTCGCAGGGCTCGTCAAACTTCATCAAGAAGCCGACGATCTTCGTCACCGCGAGCGGCAGCAACGCGGAGTCGACCATTCGGAGCGCGATAGCTCAAGCAGGCTCCAAGGTAAAACCACGAGCAATAATAACCTTCAGCGTTCAGTGCTGGTTTTTCCAGGCCTGAAGTTTCAGCATACAGTCTGCTGGTCGGATGAATGAAACAACATATCAGCATTACAGCCTGGTTTTATCAGTCTGTTGAGCTCGCCGCTCGTGTCATGCATCGACCCCCTTGATTATAGCTTTCGACGTTGTTTTTTACGACGTTCTGACTGGCATTCTATCTTGCACCCATACCCCGCATTCTCCGTAACTGACAGACAGCCATGGTGGAGGTGACACTCAAAAGTGACATCACGCTTACCAGGCAAGCATACATGTCAATGCTACAGTCCCCCCTCCAATGCAGTATTTTCCATGTCAGTGCATTATAGTACCTTCTAACATCTCAGTACTACCCCTCAATAGCACCTCAGCGAGTTCCAGTAGCCGGTTTCTGCCCAGGCTCTGTTACGTGGTAACCTCACCTCATTCTTTGCGTTCGTGTCCCCTCCTTTCGCCTCGCTTGCTCCGCGCAGTGGGTTCCCTGCCATCGGGTTCGCTTCCGGAATCATCCTGAAAGGCGCCTGTGACAACAGAAATAATAAAGTGTGAGTAGTGACATTTGCTCCTTGGATGCTACTTACTGTTACGCTGAGGTGATTTCTGAGTGGTGTGAGTTCGTCTTTTGAGGCGCCTCAAAATTGCGGGTAATGAGACGACTTTTGAGACGCCTCAAAATGTTCCTTACTGTTACGTCGAGGTGATTTTTTAGTAGTGCGAGTATTGACCTGCGTCGAGGAACAAACTCAAGGAGTCAGCGTGTGTCGTCTACCCTCCTCCGATTGTAAATCAGCGTAGTAGGAAGTTCCTACTACGTCGAGTGCGCGCAAATCTTCGACATTCGTGATAGTTACATAGTTACCATTCAAGACTGGTACTCACTTGCTCATGACCTCCCTGTCAGCTCTCGCGCCTCGTTCACTCCGTTTACCTCACGCCCTTCCCCCTCAAGCGATCCGTTTTCCCTCCCGTCACGCCCCTCGCTGTCCTTCTCTCCCACCCCCAACCCCTCTCAGTTGCATCGTCGACGGTAACAAGAAGTTTCGCATATTCTCGGGTAACTTCGCGTGCGGCATCGTGCTGGAGAACCTGGTGGTGCAGCACGCGCTCAACGGCGTGCACGTGGGCGCCTGCCAGTTCGCTGCGCGCCGAGTCACCTTCCAGCACAACGTGGCGGACAAGAGCTCCACAGGCGGGGCGGTTTTCAAGTGAGTGCTTGTAACGAACTAGATCAGCCCAGTTGTTAGATCAACGGATCATAAACGAGCTAACAGCTGCGCGCCGAGTCACCTTCCAGCACAATGTCGCGGACAAGAGCTCCACTGGATGAGCGGTTTTCAAGTGAGTGTCAGCTAGTGAGTGCCTGAACGCTTCAGCTAGTAGATGCGCGCCGAGTTCCCTTCTTCCAGCTTTAAGGACAGCTCACCTACCGCTGGATCGCCCCTGCAGTTCACCTGCTTCTATCTCAACACGTTTGCTCTGCCAACAGGAGAGTGGGCAGGTCGATCACTCACAATCTCTCGCTCCCCTCACTGTCCTTTGTATCTCCCTCTAACCCCCCGCCAGCTCGAGGGACAGCTCACCCACGGCTGGCTCGCCCCTGCAGTTCACTACGTGCGTCTTCCTCAATAACACCGCCGTCACACGTCTCTCTTCCCTACTGTCCTTCTCCCCCATCTCCCCTTGTCCCTTTTTCCTCTCCAGCTCTAGAGACAGCTCACCCACCCCACGGCTGGCTCGCCCCTGCAGTTAACTTCCTGCTTCCTCCTCAATAACACCGCCCTCACATGTCTCTCTTCCCTACTGTCCTTCTCCCCCATCTCCCTTTGTCCCTTTTTCCTCTCCAGCTCTAGAGACAGCTCACCCACTGCTGGCACGCCCCTGCAGTTCACTACGTGCGTCTTCCTTAACAACACAGCTGCCGGCAATGGCGGCGTTATCAACGTGGGGAGGGACCCCACGGGAGGGCCCGATGTGAAGATCGCTAAGTGCACTTTCAGTAAAAACTCAGCGGGACGCAGTGGAGGCGCGATTTATTCCGAAGGGAGTGAGCTTTACCTGCGCCAGTCGACGTTCTCCCAGAACACTGCTGGTAATTACAGTTGCTCATCTGCTGGTTTTTGAGGCTCCTCAAAGACAGGCCACAATTTTTTCCGAAGGGAGCGAGCTTTACCTGCTCCAGTCGACCTTCTCCCAGAACACCGCTGGTAATTACACTTGCTCATCAGCTGCTGGTAACGCATATGTTACACATGCTCGCCTTTTGACCGGCTTTGCGGCGTAACAGAATCTAATCGATCTGTGTGCAGAACACTGTTGAAAACCACACACACAGGTTCGTCTTGGTGTTACTTTTGAGAATTCTCATAACACACACTTAGGTTCCTCTCAGACCCGATGCCACATTCTCTCTTGAGTCGACTCTAAAGTCAAAAGTCATTTTGAGTCAACTCAAAAGTCAACTGTGTGTAGAACGCTGTTGGCAACCACACACACACATAGGTTCCTCCCAGACCCTAGGCCACTTTCTCGCGTCCCTCCTTCTCTACTTCCTCATTGCCCCCCTTCCCCATCGTCCCCGTTTCCCTCAGCTCGTGGCGGCGGTGCTATCCTCACCACCAGTCCAATCCTCACCTCCATCGGCACTAGATTCTCTGCCAACGCAGTGGTATCCACTGTCCCCCCTCCCTTCCCCCCCCCCCCACATCCCCCCGTTCCCCTCCTCAGCTCGTGGCGGCGGTGCTATCCTCACCACAAGTCCAATCCTCACCTCCATCGGCACTAGATTCTCTGCCAACGCAGTGGTATCCACTGTCCCCCCTCCCTTCCCCCCCCCCCCACATCCCCCCGTTCCCCTCCTCAGCTCGTGGCGGCGGTGCTATCCTCACCACAAGTCCAATCCTCACCTCCATCGGCACTAGATTCTCTGCCAACGCAGTGGTATCCACTGTCCCCCCTCCCTTCCCCCCCCCCCCACATCCCCCCGTTCCCCTCCTCAGCTCGTGGCGGCGGTGCTATCCTCACCACAAGTCCAATCCTCACCTCCATCGGGACGCGCTTCTCAGCTAACGCAGTGATGAACGGGCGAGGCGGTGCCATCTCCATACAAGCGCAGGGCGCGGTGGTGCAGTTCTGCAGCTCCAACTTCCGACGCAACAGGGCGCCGGTGTATCCCGTGTCGAATGACATGAACGCCGGGACGAGTGACGGCACGGTGACTGCGTGTGGGAGCACTGGACCCAGGAGAATAAGGAAAACGCCTGCCTTGAAGGAAGTCCAGAGCTGCAGGTGAGACTTCTGAGCCCGGGAAGTAGGGTTCAGTGTTGTGCAAGAGTAGCTTTTGGCGCAACAGGGCGCCGGTGTATCCCGTGTCGAATGACATGAACGCCGGGACGAGTGACGGCACGGTTACCGCGTGTGGTAGCACGGGGCCGAGGAGAATAAGGAAAACACCTGCCTTGAAGGAAGTCCAGAGCTGCAGGTGAGACTTCTGAGCCCGGGAAGTAGGGTTCCTGTTTCACAGGAGAAACTTCCGCCGCAGCAGGGCGCCGGTGTATCCCGTGTCGAATGACATGAACGCCGGGACGAGTGACGGCACCGTGACTGCGTGTGGTAGCATGGGGCCGAGGCGGATCCGGAAAACCCTAAACCCTGAAGGAGGTTCAGAGCTGCAGGTAAGGCGTCTGCCCTTGCATGTGAGCCTCCTCTGCCTGTAAGGCTCATGCCCTGTGTTAACCTCCTCTCATTCCTCCTACCTTTCCCCCTATCTGCTTCCCCCAAACCCACTCCCTTCCTCCATCCCTCTCCCTCCCAGTGGCTGCACCGGCTGCTCTAACGACTGTAACAGCCGCGGCACCTGTGCACTCGACTCCGATATGAACCCCTATTGCAAGTGCCAGAACCAGTTCGACCCTGCCAAAGCCTGCACTGTGTGCAAGATGGGGTACACGCTCGAGTCCAAGTGCGTGGCCTGCTCCCCGGGGTTCTTCTCCGGTCAGAAGGGGCGCTGCACAGTGTGTGGCACCGTGGACAAGGTGGGTAGCAATGCAATGGGGATAAGGTGGTTTGGACTTTCATTTTGCAGGCAGTGGGAGAGTGTATGTGAGAGGGAGGGGCAGGGAGCACTGTGTGCAAGATGGGGTACACGCTCGAGTCCAAGTGCGTGGCCTGCTCCCCGGGGTTCTTCTCCGGTCAGAAGGGGCGCTGCACCGTGTGTGGCACCGTGGACAAGGTGGGTAGCAAGGCAATGGGGATAAGGTGGTTTGGACTTTCATTTTGCAGGCAGTGGGAGAGTGTATGTGAGAGGGAGGGGCAGGGAGCACTGTGTGCAAGATGGGGTACACGCTCGAGTCCAAGTGCGTGGCCTGCTCCCCGGGGTTCTTCTCCGGTCAGAAGGGGCGCTGCACCGTTTGTGGCACTGTGGACAAGGTGCGTGGCTGTGAGAATAAAGCATGCGACGATAATGCATGTGATGATTAAGTATGTGAGAGGGAGGGGCAAGGAGCACTGCGTGCAAGATGGGGTACACGATGGAGTCCAAGTGTGTGGCCTGCGCTCCGGGGTTCTTCTCAGGGCAGAAGGGGCGCTGCACCGTGTGTGGAACCGGATAAGGTGCGTGGTAGTGTGGACAAGGTGTGTGGCACCATGGACAAGGTGTGTGGCACCGTGGACAAGGTGCGTGGTAGTGTGGACAAGGTGCGTGGTAGTGTGGACAAGGTGCGTGGTAGTGTGGACAAGGTGCGTGGTAGTGTGGACAAGGTGCGTGGTAGTGTGGACAAGGTGCGTGGTAGTGTGGACAAGGTGCGTGGTAGTGTGGACAAGGTGCGTGGTAGTGTGGACAAGGTGCGTGGTAGTGTGGATAAGGTGCGTGGTAGTGTGGATAAGGTGGGTGTCAGGGACAATATAGCATGTGAGAGTGAGGGACTCAAGGAGCACTGCCTGCACGGTGTGCAAGATGGGGTACACGATGGAGTCCAAGTGCGTGGCCTGTGCCCCAGGGTTCTTCTCAGGGCAGAAGGGGCGCTGCACCGTGTGTGGCACCGTGGACAAGGTGGGTAGCAAGGCAAGGGGGATAAGGTGGTTTGGACTTTCATTTTGCAGGCAGTGGGAGATTGTGTATGTGAGAGGGAGGGGCAAGGAGCACTGCGTGCAAGATGCGGTACACGATGGAATCCAAGTGCGTGGCATGTGTCCCAGGGGTTCTTCTCCGGTCAGAAGGGGCGCTGCACCATGTGTGGCACCGTGGATAAGGTGCGTGGCAGGGAGAATAGGGCGAGTGGGTGTGAGAATAAAGCATGTGAGAGGGAGGGACAAGGGGCACTGCGCACTGTGTGCAAAATGGGATACACGATGGAGTCGAAGTGTGTTGCCTGTGCTGAGGGGTTCTTTCTCCGGCCAGAAGGGGCGCTACACCGTGTGTGGCACCGTGGACAAGTTGCGTGGCTGCGACTATAAAGAATGTGACAGTAAGGGACACAAGGAGCACTGCACTGCCTGCACTGCCTGCACTGTCTGCCCTGTCTTCACTGTGTGCTGTGCAACAACGCCACACAAGCTGCTTCCTCCAAGTGCTGCCAGCAGGATGTGCCAGAGGGCCCAGAACCTCATCCCATTCCCCCCATCCATAACCCTCCTCTTTTCCGTTCCCCGCCCCCTGCCTCTCTCCCCTCCCACAAGCAGATTCAAGAGCTTACAGGCGAGCTCTCGAGCCTCAACAACGCCACACAAGCTGCTTCAGCCAAGCAGTGCCAGCAAATGCGCCAGAATTCCCAGGCATGGCCCCCACCAGTGTACGAGCCCCACATTTCTCCCTCTACCCTTGATCCCCTTCTTCCTCTCTCCCCTCCCACAAGCAGATTCAAGAGCTTACAGGCGAGCTCTCCAACCTTAACAACGCCACACAGGCTGCTTCCTCCAAGCGCTGCCAGCAGATGCGCCAGAATTCCCAGGCACGGCCCCCACCAGTGTACGAGCCCCACATTTCTCCCTCTACCCTTGGTCCCCTTCTGCCTCTCTCCCCTCCCACAAGCAGATTCAAGAGCTCACAGGCGAGCTCTCCAACCTTAACAACGCCACACAGGCTGCTTCCTCCAAGCGCTGCCAGCAGATGTGTCAGAGGGCCCAGACACAGACGAAGCTGTACAAGAACTACTGCAACCTGTGGGCCTTTGTGGAGAACAGGTGAGAGATCCAGAAGTAACGGTGTTGATGTCTGGCACCTCTTCTCCAAGGAAGAGCCAGCAGATGTGCCAGAGGGCCCAGTCACAGACGAAGCACTACAAGAACTACTGCAACCTGTGGGCCTTCGTGGAGAACACGTGAGAGGCATGTTCACATCCCCTGTTGGATGTGTTGTGCTGGTTTAGGATTTCCAGAAACATCTGCGACAAAGCGGTGCCAGAAGATGTGCCAGGGGGCCCAGGCTCAGCAGAAGCAGTACAAGAAAGAACTACTGCAACCTGTGGGCCTTTGTTGAGAAGAGGTGCAAAATGACATTCTTGCACCTTGCTATTGCATGTGTCGTTACAAGTTTTCACCCTGCCGAGGATTTTTTAGGCGCCTTAAAAAAACCACTCTTTAATGTGCCTTGCTTTTGTATGTGCAGTTACAAGGTTCCTTCCTGCCGAGGCAGCTGTCTACTTTTCAATGACGAGTCGGAGTGCGGGGTGCGCAATGTAACGCGGGACGCGAAGAGGAACGTTGTCTACCAATTCATGGAGCCCAGTTTCCTTAACTGCGACTAGTAGGCATAACCTCGCCTTCGCCCATACCCTTGGGGTATTGAATCTAGTGATCCTCTCATTTCTCCACCGGCCCATTGTTCCACGAATTATGATGCTATATATGGTGGCAACACCATAAGAAACCTAAGTTTCTTATGGTGCTTCCCTTCTGAAAACATTGGCGTTATATTTTTTGCCAATGTGTAGATTGAAACGTGTGGATGGAAACCTGGCCACAGCATAAAAAAATAACGTTTCTTTTGGTGAAATTGCAAATGGTCCAGATGTAGAAAGCGATAACCACGCATGGGTGCATTGAGTAACGAATAATGTCCAACTCGTTGATGAGGATCTGTCTCTTGTTGAGTGGGAGTTGTTGAAAGCCAAGCTTTGCGAGCCTCTTCCCCTGATGCAAGGCTGGCAGAGCAACAGATGGGATGCAGCGATCCCACAGTCATCAACAACTTACAACTTATTTCGCGTACGAATGGGTAACGCTCACGAGATATTTGAATTCGCAGGCACAGTAACTTGGAGTGTCGTCATCCGGTCGTATTACAGTATGTGTAACAGGCGGCTCGTTGGAACCGAGGCTTTCGCCGGGCAACGACTGCTCTGCTCTCGATTCCCTGTGATGTCTGTCACACCACCGCCAATGCCCTCACAAGAATTTTGTGTGGTGGATTGGTCGAGCTATATGAGTGGCCATCCGTCTTCTGCTGCACTGATGTTTCAAGGACTGGCGTAATTGTCCATTGGTCATCCAGTGCGGTTCGGTCGAATTCGAGACGTTACAAAACGGTTATTGTCTATCACCGTGTTAGACCGTAACGCACCTCCTCATATTTTCAGTGAATTTCCCTGCTGCTTTTCACTCCCTTCCATGTCACTCGCATTCTTGCTCCTAACTTTCACTTCAATAGTTCCCTCTACTATAATAACTTCAGCTGCAAAGGTCGTTCTGTCATTTGTGTCCTAGATATTCAAAAGGTTTACGTACGCGACTGCAGACGATAGGGAAGATCGTCCAGTAGATTGTAGTATTTTAGCAGTTTAGCACATGATCAACTAGTGTGCTAGTGGATAATGTTTCTTATTACCGCTCTCGCATACAATAGTCCCTTTCAGCTATTATTGCTGTCTTCCTTGTTTACCTTTAGGCAGGAAGGCTTGCGCTGCAGGCGATGACATATCTAAGTACTGATTCGTCAATTCTTACAACTTAGCGGGCATTAGTAGCCACGCGCCTTCTTTTCGCGTTTCGTAATTTTCTCCGGCCACTCGCTTGAAGCCCGCCACTCAATTGTATGCGTGCTCTGAAAATGGCGGAACTTAAGACTCAAGAGTTCGAAGCAGATGGAGTCGACACCATAGTTACAGCAGACGACCGACCTTCACCGCGCAGCAAGCCTGCTTATGGCACGTTTCTGCGAGGGATGTGGCCGTTCAGTCACAGCGCCAAGTATCACTCCCACAATAGTCACACTCCCAACGATCACAATTTCGCGCACACTCGGTCTCTGAAAGAGACGATCAAGCACCACCTTTCTCCCGACCCTAAACCATCCGAACCTGCAGCCGTACCTTCAACCGAACCTCTAGCCGAACCAGGCACGCCGGAGCTACAGCAAGCGAGCCGCTCCCCTGGGAAACGAGGCTTTCTCGGCCTGCTACAATCCCGATCGCGCCGAGACCGAACCTCGTCCCATACCTCGTCTATAGGCTCGGAGTCGAGCAGCGGGACAGGTGGGAAGTCTGTATCTGGACCGACGACAGCCAGACGCAAAACTGCGTCAAGATCGTCCTTTGGGATGGAGTCGGGAAGCGAAAAGGAACTTGAAGCGGTCCCTGGCAATGTCACTGAAGCTGCTGACAGCGGCGCTTCTGCTGCGGCAGACCCGTTGCTGGACATGTCGCACGCGTCGCCATCCCAGTCGCACACGTCGCCGTCACAGTCACACACGTCGCCGTCGCAGTCGCAGTCGTCGGAACTGCTGCTGGGAAACCCGCTCAAGAAAACCAACGTCAAGGTTTTGGACGATGACGAAGTTCGCCAGACGTTCGCAGGCCCTTCGCGAATGGAGGTGGACGAAGGGCCAATGCATCAAGGGCCCGCGGTTTCACTAGCGGATAACACGGAAGACGAAGTGACTAGTGCGAATTCTGTTAGCCATCTAGTCGGAGACAGAGAAAATTCATCAGTTGTGGAGGAGGAGAAAGAGGCTTCGGCGTTTGCTGCAGGTGCTGCTGCTGCTGCTGCTGCTGCTGCTGCTGCTGCTGCTGCTGCTGTTGCTGCCGCTGCTGTCGCTGCTGCACCTGCTACTGCTCCCCTTGTTGCTGCTCCTCCTCCTGTTGATCCTCCTGCTGCCGTTCCACTTGCTGCTGCTCCTCCTCCTGCTACTGTTCCCGCTGCTGCTGTTCCTCCTCCTCCTGCCGCTGTTCCCGCTGCTGCTGTTCCTCCTCCTGCTGCTGCTGTTCCTCTCACTGAGGCCAAGGCTGTGGAGAATGGCATGCAGGAACTGACCATGAATGAAGTGCCAGCACACAGCAGCACGGAGGCTCCACACAACAGTGATGGCTTAGATGACGTTGGTGGGTCTTCACTGCTTGGGTCTTATACATCTGAAGGGCTGCTGCTCGTGACTGCTGCTGCCCCTGCTGCTGTTGCTTCTATTGCGCCTGCTGCTGCTGCTGCTGCTGCGCCCGCTTCTCTTGCTCCTGCTGCTCCTGCTCCTGCTGCTGATGCGATCCCGTTGGGGGTTACGCTTGCAAATTTTATCCCAGAGTCTGCTGCTGCTGCTTCGGCTGTTGCTGCTTCGGCCGCTGCTGCTGTGGAGGAAGTAGGGCAGGAGGGAGAGGAGCAGGATGATAGGGGGAGGAAGGATGGGGAGGAGGCGAAGGAGGAGGAGGACATGGGGGAGAAAGAGGATCAGGAGGAAGGGGGGAGGAAGGTTGAGGAGGAGGGTGAGAGAAAGGAGGAGATGGAGGGACCGATGACAACAGAGATTGTCAAGGAGGAGAGAAAGAGGGAGGAGGAAATTGAGGTGGTTGAGGAGGAGACGAGGGGGAAGGAGGAGGGGGAAGAGGAGGGCGGAGGGCCTGTTACTGTGAGCATGGATATTTCAGTTGGTGGGGACGATGGAGCATGGGATGAAGGGATGATGGAAGAGGAAAGTGCCACAGAGCAAGGGGGTGCAACCTCTGCTGCCGCTGCTCCTGCTGACGCCGCTGCTCCCTCTGTTGCCACTGCCGATGCAGCAGCTGCTGCTCTTGAGTCGACTCAAAAGTCACCTGCTGCTCTTGATGCCCCAGCACACCCCTCACACGAGCCTTCCACGTCTCTTGATGCCCCAGCACACCCCTCACACGAGCCTTCCACGTCTCTGGACGCATGTCTGCACCTGCTGATGAGCATAGACGAAGCTGACATGGCGGCAGGCCTGGTAGCTGCAGCAGGCCACGTGGCATGCGGGGACGCTGACGTGGTGCATGAGGTGTTTGACGCGCTGCCCTTTCACTTCGTCCGATCGCTGCTGGAAGAATCAGTGGGGGAGAGGCTTGAAGCAACAGCACTGGGACCAACGCAGGATCCACCAACATCAGCGTCAGCAGCAGGAGCAGCAGCAGCAGCAGCAGCAGCAGCAGTGTCTGTACTCGTGGTGGTCACTGAGCAACCGGAACTAGCCTGTCTGCCTCCTGTACTCCACCTGCTGGACCCTCTCAGCCAGATTATTCTCCACGGGTGAGTGAACGTTTGAGCCGTCTCAAACTCTGTTTTGGAGTCTCTATCCTGCTGCTCCTTCCCCTCCTCCCTCCCTCCCCACAACCACATGCGCACTGTTTCTCTCTTCCAAGACGCCTGCCTGTGTGATCTTGCTTGCCTCTCTTCCTGTGTGTATATATATGGTTACACATACATACACATTTTGATCCTTCCCCTCCTCCCTCCTTCCCCACAACTACCAGGCGGACAGTGTCTCTCGTCCGAGACGCTTGCCTATGTGTGCTGGCGGTGGCGCGGGGATCAGAAGCGGGCATGCGGGCGTGCAGGGAGCAAGGCATGCTCGGGGTGGTCGCTCGCTCTCTTGCTGCCATCACAGGTATCGACACACCACTTGTGACTGGTCCCATATTGAAATCACTTTTGAGAATTCCCAAAAGTGATTTCAATATAGCCGGGGTGGTCGCTCGCTCTCTTGCTGCCACCACAGGTATCGACACAGTGACTGGTGCCATTGCTGCCATGACAGGTATCGTGATGTGGCACATGCATGGGTGGGTGGTAAAGCATGTGAGGTCATGAATGAACGGCTCAGAAGGAGGCATGAGGGCATGAGGGTAGGAGGGCAGGGCATGAGGGAGAAGAGCCTCTTGTGACATGGTCACATGGTCACATCACATGGTCACATGGTCACATGGTCACATCACATGGTCACATGGTCACATGGTCACATCACATGGT